TGTAACATATGGGATTCACTTTCATTTATCATCGTCTGTTGAAATAAATTTGGCAAACTGAATCAAACTGTCTTCATAAACAGCTTCTTAACCTTGCTCCTAGAAAGAGAGAACAGTTTGTTCATTTATTCCTAAACTACAGAGAAGTTACAGATTCGCATTCATTGTATTTAAATGATGTTCTTAATATTCTGTTTTTCTCATCTGAAATAGGACTTGTGATATATGTTATGGATGCAAACACAAACACACTGTAGTAGTGCCAGAGGAAAATCAGCAGAAGAGGGGACTGACAGCAGCATAGGATCCTGGCCTATGACGGATTGAAGGGTCATGGAAGCCCTGTGCAAGGAGATAAAGAGCAACACTGATGGGGTATGTCTACACTACAGCACTAATTCGAACTAACTTAATTCGAATTAGTTAATTCGAACTAAGCTAATTCGAATTATTGCATCTAGACCTAAAAACTAATTCAAATTAGCGTTTTGCTAATTCGAAATAGCGCGTCTAAATTGAGTGGACCCTTCACCGAAGTTAAGGCTGGCCGGAACCAGTGCCGGCAGGGCATCAGGTTAGGACTTAGAGCGTGGGGCTGCTGCCTCAGGCTAGCCGAGGGGTGTGCTTAAAGGGACCCAACCCCCACCCGATAGACAGTTTTCAGGGTTGCCCGCTTGCTTGTCTAACTCGATGAGGGACAGCAAAGCAGTCCTGACTTGGAGTGCCCTGAGTGCCCACACTCAGCACATCACAGCACTCAGCCATCAGCCCGGCTGCACTTGCCGCAGGCTGACATCCGGGGGGGATCAATCGGGGGGCTCTCAGGATCCAGGAGGCCCTGCAGGAGAGCTTCCAGTCCGAGGAACCCACAGAGCCACCCCAGTCCTCCCCATCAGGGCATCGTTCCCCATTCCTCCCTCACCTCCTTCCACTTACCCCTCCCTAGCCCCCTTCCTGATGTAAAAAATAAAGGACACGTTTGTTCAAAAATAGAACCTCTCTTTATTTAACAAAACTGTGGGGGGGGATTAACCTCTGGGGAGACTGGGAAAAGGAGGTGGGAGAGGGGAAGAGAGAGGGTGGGAGAGGGAAGGGGAAACCTGGGATGAGGGAGCTGGATGGGGGAAGCCATGGGAAGGAGGAGGAGGGGAAGTATAAAACTATGGTACGCCATATCTTCAGTACTATGTACAGATGTAGTCTCCTCACCTCAAAAAAGATATTTTGGCCTTGGAAAGGGTTCAGAAAAGGGCAACTACAATGACTAGGGGTTTGGAACAGGTCCCATATGAAGAGAGGCTAAAGAGACTGGGAATTTTCAGGTTAGAAAAGAGGAGACTGAGGGGGGATATGATAGAGGTCTATAAAATCATGAGTGATGTGGAGAGGGTGAATAAAGAAAAGTTCTTCATTAGTTCCCATAATAGAAGGATTAGAGAACACCAAATGAAACGAATGGACAGCAGGTTTAAAACTAATAAGCGAAAGTTCTTCACACAGAAGATAGTCAACCTGTGGAACTTCTTGCCACAGGAGGCTGTGAAGGCTGGAACTATAACAGAGTTTAAAGAGAAGTTAGATAAATTCATGGAGGTTGGATCCATGGAGTGCTATTAGCCAGGGGGTAGGAATGGTGTCCTTGGCCTCTGTTTTGGAAGGCTGGAGATGGATGGCACGAGACAAATCGCTTGGTCATTGTCTTCGGTCCATCCCCTCCGGGGTACCTGGTGCTGGCCGCTGTCAGCAGACAGGCTACTGGGCTAGATGGACCTTTGGTCTGACCCAGTACGGCCATTCTTATGTTCTAAGATCAGGGCTCAGGGTCAGGGGTCTCACTGGAACAACTTGATTTTCATGTAAACTTGCTCCTGGGTTCACATGTGGCCTTTGGTGGCCAGGCTGGCAGCTACCAGGGGGGTGCCCACCTCTTGCAGCCCCGGGCAGGCTCCTGGGAGGGGGAGGGCTGGGTGGCAGCGGGTGGCTGGCTCATGCCGTGCAAGGTGCAGGGTCTGCTGGCTGGGTGCTGGCAGGCTTGCAACTGGCACCGGCACTGTAGCCACACCGTGCCCCTTTAAGGGCTCCAGGGCCGGGAGGGGGGCAGAAAAATTTCCCTGGTTTGTCCCAGAGTGGCCACCAGGGCAACCTGGGAAGGGCTAGCCTCCAACTAGTTTGAATTAAGTGGCTACACAGCCCTTAATTTAAACTACTTAATTCGAACTAGGCGTTAGTCCTCGTAGAATGAGGTTTATCTAGTTCGAATTAAGCGCTCCGCTAGTTTGAATTAAATTCGAACTAGCAGTTTGCATGTGTAGCTGCTATTAAAGTTAATTCAAACTAATGTCTGTTAGTTCGAATTAACTTTGTAGTGTAGACATACCCACGGAGATTAGGTGATTAAGAGAAAGAGTACTGAAATAATATTCCTGAGATTCAAGAGTTTTTATTCAGAACAAAAGTGAATCAAAGGTTTTCGTGGGGAGCAAAAGAGTTGTTCTAAGGCTGAAGATCAAATGAGGAGGGGAGAATTAGGAAATGAGACTGAGAAAGCACAACTAGTGGGTCAGAAGCTACATGAACATGAAAAATATATTTTAAAAGAATTAAGAAGGACTGGGCACAGCAGCCAAAGGAAAGCTAGCAATCAGAGAGCAAGATGATCAAGGTACCAAAACAAGGAACCTTTTCCTTCTTAAACGGTCCTCTCCCCACTTGCTTCTTTTTCTTCCACTGGAAGCCATTATGAAATCTTAACTATAGCACTTGGGCTTTTGATATGATATATAATATATATTAAAAAAAGTTTTTCCTGTGGGATGGCAGAGTGATGTCATCACGTCTCTCGTGTCCCTCCCTCCCCTTTCTCCAGTGCTCGACTGCAGTACAGGGCCTGGGGAGGCCTCAGAGCACCTCTCCTCCCTGGAGGGGACCAAAGCTGTGAGCCATGCAGCCTTTTCTCTCCCCTCCCAGATGCTCCAGTGGGGGGCCATGAAGCCACATGCTGAGCAGCTATAGGAGCTGCGTGGCCTTTCTCCTTCCCCGCTCCCTGGTGCTCCAGGGGAGCAGGGTGGAAGCCACAAGCTGCCTCCCCCTCTCCAGTGATCTAGGGAGGTGGGAGCCACACCTCCATCCCGCACCCCAGCCTCCTCACAGAGCCCCTAGGTCTTGGGATAGCCTTGCTCCAGCCTCCCTCCCTGGCAGCTGGGGGGAGGAAACAGCTAGGGACAGGGGGTGAGGGTGGAAGGAGCTGGAGAGGGGGGAGAGCCGAGGCTGGGCTGGCCTTGGGGGGGCCTGGCAGCTGGGGGGAGAGAGCCACATCTCAGTCTGGCCCTCCTCAGTGGCCAAGTGGAGAGGAGGGGAAGCTGGAGCTGCCTACCCACAGAAAGGGGGGTTGGTAAGTGTAACAAGCAAGAGGCACTGCCTCCAAATATATCATAACATAAACCATAACATAATTAATGCTATCTTTGAGTCTTTGCTTAATACATCGACTTTCAGTGGTATTTGTTAGAACATAAGAACATAAGAATGGCCGTACTGGGTCAGACCAAAGGTCCATCTAGCCCAGTAGCCTGTCTGCCGACAGTGGCCAGCACCAGGTGCCCCAGAGAGGGTGGACCAAAGACAATGATCAAGTGATATGTCTCCTGCCATCCCTCTTCAGCCTCTGACAAACAGGCTGTGTCCAGACTCAGGGGGGTTTTCGAAAAAAGTAGCCTTTTTTCGAAAAAACTTCACCTGCGTCTAGACTGCAGCCGCGTTCTTTCGAAATTAAATCGAAAGAATGCAAACCTCATTTCACGAGGAAGAACGCCTTCTTTCGAAAGTGCTTCTTTCGAAAGAAGGTGTTCTTGAATGTAAATAGGGCTTCTTTGAAAGAGAGCATCCAGACTCACTGGTTGCTTTCTTTCGAAAAAGCGGCTTGCTCTTTCGAAAGCTCCGCGTGCAGTCTAGACGCTCTCTTTCGAAAGAGGCTTGCAGTCTAGACATAGCCACAGAGGCCAGGGACACCATTTCTATCCCCTGGCTAGTAGCCTTGTATGGACCTAACCTCCATGAAATTATCTAGCTTCTCTTTAAACTCTGTTATAGTCCTAGCCTTGTTCTAGAGTTGTTTTAGGTATTGTGAGGACTAATAAATAATTTTGTGCAAAGGACTTTGAGATGAAGTGATACTACAAAACCCCTAGATTCTGAGCCATGCCCTGTGTAACAAGGTGGCTAATTTGCCAGATATTTGTTCTCCTTCTCCAGCAGTGACACCATCCAACATTCAGTACACTGGTAACAAACAAGAGGATAGATAACAAGGTGGCTTGCAGTCGCATTGCAAGAATACTCTTCTGACTATGAAGAAAGATTAGAACCCCAGCTTTACAGTTTATTCAAGGCGGGGTTGATAACATCACCGACGAAGGTTGCCTAACAAACACTTCTTATTACAAAACCCTGTTTTAACTTGTTTATAACGTTGCCAGAATTAAACATTTTGAGATTAAATGTCCCAGGCCAAGCAGAGGGGCCGAAAGAATTGCCAAGCCCCCGGGAAGGTGAGGGTGGTTGGGTTCCAGGCTTCTGGAAGGGGCAGAAGCCGGGCGGGTGGCGCGAGGCAGGAACCGCGCTACAGTCCGGAGGGACGCGAACCCTGCGGCTG